AAGAACGAGCAAGATGGAATTAACATGAAGTGGAACATGGTGACTGTTGATAACTGTACAAACAAGAAAAACTACGTTCATCTATAGTTAGGGACTTAATTTTTTTTTAAAAAGATTTTGTGATAAGTATTTATAGAAAACAAAACTTTTGGGGTTGAGTTCGAAACGAGTGTTTGTTATAGGCTCTTAGGGAGCATTTTATTCATTTGCAACATTCTGAACATGTATCTGCTATCATCTTTACATCTACGCTACCTACCAGTATGCCCAAATGTTCCCTGACCGAATGGATTAAATAATTCGCCGTAAGTCATAAAACCCATTCCCCATGAGGTGGGTAAATTCATTCCAACTTGGTCAGGTTCATTTTCGGGTGTATTCGATTTTATTGCTATTTTTAAAGTTTCTTCATTTAACAAGCGTTTTAGTTTTTCATCATCCAAATCTCCAATTAACGACGCATAGATTCGAGCTAATGAACGGGCATTTGTTATTCCATTTACTGCTGGAATTTCTGCTTGGTGGACACGCGGATCATTAAATATGTCTGACTCTAATAAAGGGTTTCTCATGCTTTCTTGTAGTAACGGAAAATTTTCTATATTTAGCACTACTTGCTGCTCATTGGATTTTAAGGCTAGAGGGGATACACGATGCTCCATGTCAGCTGGTAAACCAATATAAAATTCGCTTTCCGTTCTATCAGCAATTTCTTCTCGAATAAATTGTCCAACCGTTCTATGCTTTGTATCAACACGTCTGACAAGTTCACCAGCTAACCAGCCGTACGTCAGTGCATGATAACCATGCATAGTACCTGGTATCCAATATGGAGATTGTTTCTCTAGAGCGTGAATCATTTCATACCAATCTAAATGTTGATCGAGTGATAAATTATAGTTACTCAATGCAGGTAATCCTGCGCGATGTGACATAATATCAGCTATAGTTGTATTTTCTTTTCCATTTTGTCCATATTCTGGCCAATATTTTGTAACTAGTTCGTTGTAGGTAAGCAATCCATTTTGTACACAGAGAGCAACAGCCATAGCTACCAACCCTTTCGACGTTGAATATACAAGCTGAAGTGTATTATTATCATAAAGCTGAATTTTTCGTTTGTCAAACCATCCACCCCATAAATCCACAACTACTTTACCATTATAGTAAATAGC